TGAAATTTGTGCAGTTGATACCGTGAGATTAGATTTGCCCCATACTCTTCATGTGCTAAAGTTAGTCCCTAACTTAGTTTCGATAGGTCAGTATACTGAACAAGGTTGCTTTGTTTTGTTTACCACCACCTTAGTTATTCCTCCAGATTCAGTTTTCTTCACCACAAGTAACCTCTTGTGGGAATTTCAGCACGACTTGATAGGTTTGGCTCAGCAGCGGTTGGCACCATCACAAGGCCGCCAAAGTTTTCTTCATTGGCTTGGGCTCCAGTTGAGTCTCTTGTGCTTTTATGACGATTTCATGAAGACTTTCCCACCATTTGGCCTAGTTTAATGGATGAATCATCGTTGACCTTCTAGTAATTGTCCCACTTGATCCTCCAACTTGATCTAATTGTTGATTCAAATCATTCTAGAGTGTGTTTGACCTTGAAAAGCACAAAATAATACCAAAAGGGAATTAACCTGTTTATCTAGGAGCTTAACGTACTTTTTTTTGTTAAGGATATTGGTTTGAATCCCTCTTTTGAAAATTTTACGAATATGAAATGTTGGGCGTCTAGCCCATCCACGATAAATAGAGATGCGTGCCTTTATTGAGAAACACTTAGTACTGATGGGGACTTGGTTTAAACTTGTTTAACGTTGAAGAGAAGAGGCAGGCTCCTCCTAGTTGATGTTAAGAAGTCGGCGCCTGCTATATTGTCACATGGGCAACATGTGACACATTTACGAATTTGAAATATCATAGGCTGGCTCTGCCAAGTTAATATAAAGTAGTTGGTGCCTACTATATTGTTAAAGGGCAACATGTGGCATTGTGATAGAGTTGCTTGCCTTTGAAGTGCTTGGTGTGAGCTCGAATCCCAACTTAGTTTTTTTCCTGCTTCCCTCCAATTTTCTTTCGTGGCTCCTCTTATTATGAAATAATATTATACTTGTGCTTCCTTTGAATATTTGTAGGAGGCGTCTTCTCCTCTATTGCCCTTGATCACTGCCTTTTGCTTTGACTGTAAATTTCGTTTCCTCTTTATTGTTGTTATTATTATTATTATTATTATTATTATTATTATTATTATTATTATTATTATTATTATTATTATTATCTTGACCAATTCCTAGAGTGTCAATTGTTTCCGCTAAGAAACTCATCCCTTGACTCAAAATTCATTGATCAAGAATCTTTGTGTGAATGACATATTTGTGAAAGAGCGGGGGCATTCGTCGTCGGTTCGAATCCAAACATAGTTTATTTTGCTTCTCTTCAAACTTCTTTCATTCTCTTTTTTTATGAAATAATATTATACTCGTGTTTCCTATGTATATTTGTAAAATGCGTCCTTTCTATATTTCCCTTGTTCACTGCCTATTGCTCTAAAACTTCGAAGTTTCATTTCTTCTCTTTTTTCCTTTTTCTTACTTGGCGTCTTCCTAGTGTGTCAATTTTTTCGGCCAATAAACTCGGGCGCATAATTCAAATTAATCCAAAATATGTGTGTGAATGAAAGATTTGTGAAAAGAGCGGGGTAGCCCACGTCAGTTCGAATCCCAACCTAGTTTTTTATTTTTATTTTTTTGCTTCTCTCCAATCTTCATTCATGGATCCATATTTTATGAAATAATATTATACTTGTACTTCCTTTGGATATTTGTAGGAGGCGTTTTCTACTCTATTTTCCTTGCTCACTACCTTCTGCTCTGAAACTTCAAATTATGTTTCTTCTCCTTATTTTTCTTCTTGGCTCCTATCTAGTGTGTCAATTGTTTCCGCCAAGAAACACAGACGCTTGATTCAAAATTAATTGATCCAGAATCTTTGTGTAAATGACATATTTGTGAAATAGCGGGGACAACCCCGTCATCTACTATCCGAAAATCGAAAAACCATGAAGCAAATGAAGCATCCATAGGCGGCACAGTGAGAAGGAGCCCTGATAGGTTCCAAGTTTCTGAGGCATGCTGACAGTGGAAAAGACAGTGCATCACTGTTTCAGATGGCATCTCACAGATTGGACATTTAGGATTGGGAGCACATCGGCGGGTGAAAAGTCGCTCCCTCGTTGCAATAGCTTTCTTAGCGCATTTCCATATGAAGAACCGCAACTTGGGAGGTAGAGCGAGGGACCACATCCACTTCCAATCTTCACTATTGGGGTGGTTTTGCAATTGAGGTGGGTGGGTGACATGCAAATCACGTTCTTCACGAAGGACATGGTAGGCCGAGCGAGCAGTATACTCTCCATTAACAGTGTGCTTCCAAGCCCAACAATCCCTCGATTCAGCTGGACCAATAGGGACTCGAAAGATAGCATCTGCGACATCCTCAGCGCATATGTTCCGGATAGCAGCAGCGTCCCAAGACCGATCAATCTGCCGAATCCAATCACTCACTCGAGAATCGGGGAGGTTTGGATCAGCCACGGAAAGGCTCAGAAGGGATGGAATCCACGGGTCAAGGTTGAAGCTGGTATCCTCTCCTGACATGATCACCTTGATCATTCCTCCTTTAATCGCCTCTTTCGTGTCACACAAGCCATTCCACACCCAAGATCCACATCTTCCCTTTGGAGCTGCGAGACACCATGGGGGAGGCACACATCCGGAAGATAGTCTACTACTTGTGGAATATTTGGCTATCTAGGAATGCTTTCATCTTTGACAGTAAGGCCCCTTCCCCGGCCTCTTTGGTAATTAAGTCGGCCCGTGACATCCTTGAATGGGAAGAAGCTCGAGTCTCGACACCTTCTTCGATTCCTTACCGGCCAACTCAGTTACCTTCTCAGTCTAGGGGTTCCCGTTTCAACACGGAACCACCGCCCTGTACCCGAGTGATGTTCTGTGATGGGTCGTTCATCTCAGACTCGAGTCCGGCGGCATATGAGATTACTATTGCTAACTCTCAGGGTCACGTGTACGACGGCAAGACTGAGACCTTCCTTTGTTCTCATCCGATTCAGGCGGAAGCTTTTGGTCTTCTCAATGCTATTAGGGTTGCTTCTCAGGATAACATCCCAACCTGTATTCGTACAGATTGTCAAGTGCTTTCCCTTGCGCTGCATCAGGAACCCTCGGCATGGCCTTGGATGTGTCGGGCTACCATTGCGCAGATGGTTCTCCTTCTCAGGCTTGCACCATCGATTCGTGTTGAGTTTGTTCCTCGATGTTTGAATCGATTAGTGGATTGGGTGGCACGACATGCTAGGGCGGGATCGTTACCAGTGGATTGGATTTTAATTGTCAATATTATTGCTCCACTCCTGTAATGTGACCATGGCTTTCCCGGTTTCGGATGGAAAAAAGGTTGCTTATTGTCAAAAAAAAAAAAAAACTCTCCGACAATCACCATTAGGCAAAGGCTTGTACTACCATTTTGGGCTTTCGTGGGTTCTTAAAGTTGTTTTATGGACTTGAACCCATGGGTACTTAGTGAATTGTAGTTGCGGTTTGGGATGGGTTATTCCATACTTATGGGGCCAATGGAGTCATAGAGAGTAGAGATACATGTTCCTCACTGATAAGCTTATTTCACTTGAGTTAAGTATAATTAGGAGTGGAGAGGTGTGACGTAGAGTTACGAGATCAGGACACTTTAGCATTTTGGAGAAGACTGGACTCGTGTATTTTTTTTTTATTAAATTTGCATTTATTCATATTTGGATATTATTCATAATTTTTGGCGTTAATTATTATTGTTATTTGTTTTAGTAGGATCGTGATTTATTTTTAGTATTTGTTAAGGATTTGGTTATTGTTTCCTTATGGGATATATTTTCATATTTTGGGGAGGAAGGGAAGAAAAAGGTCACAACCCAGACGGAGGAGGAGGGATTCTCAGAATTTTCTAGCCTGTAAATATGTAATCATTCTGTAGTTAATGGATCGAAGATTGGAACCCAAATATTTGTCTTCTCGCTCTTTTGCTTGCAATTTCCTTTGAGAGTTCTTGCTTTATTATTTTCTTCGTAAGAGTGCTTGAAACGACATCTCGTACGTCACATTTTGTCAACGTGCAGGAGTCTGAAAATGTAGGAGCATTATCTTCAAGAAGAGAATTGAGATTCAAAGAGACACTCTGAAGGAGCCAAACTCTATAATGTCGGAAAGCGAGAGAGAACGTGAACTTGACTGTAATGTCGTTCTCATAATGTGATTACACAAAGTAATAAATAATTGAACGGTAAGTAAACTCTACTCTCATACCCATGAATAGGGATCAAATCCTCATTATGGTACAAGACGATCAGCTACTCTCCCATCAAAAGGCAAATATTTCATTGATACCTTTACATAATACAATGCATAAAGTTTACCTTCATCCAATTCTTCCCATCAACGGAGTTTGGCAATGCCGCGATGAGACATGCAGCCGCAGGCCTATTCGGCTTAACATGTACACTAGGTAGCCCAATAGGTTAGCCCTCAAAACAACTGGGCCCGGGATTTGATGTACGTAACTGGGCCTAATTTCTTCTTCATAAATAGAAAAAGCACCCGAGATCCCTTGCAATAAGTGCGGGCCAGCCGCGCCAGAAAAAGTAAAACGGCCGGAGTGCAGTTAATTCTCAGATGCTGACGTGCACAAAGTCGAATTAAAGGGGTAAAAAGAAAATTATTAATAAATCCTAAAAAGCCTTTTTTTTCCTTCTTTAATTAAGATTTAGATAACCGTAATTCGTTTCAACTCAGCAGCCGTGTCTTTAGTACTACTCTACCTACTATCTGTTTACTCTTTCCTCTCCCTAATGGTAACAAAACCAAAATTAATTAATTTTTTTGGATTTCTCGAACACCTTCAGTTCACTCACACACAGGAGGAGAAAAAAAGCAAAACCCTGATACTCTCCGGAAAGGAAACGCTTTTCCACACCAATGAGGGAAAACGACCACCGGCGGGACGGAGCTTTTCCCGACCCAGATACGGACTAGCAGTTTTCCTTCTCACCTTCTGTCTCCCGTATTTCCACACCCACATTATAAACCATTATGCCTCGCTCCTTCAACGAGATCAAATTCCATTCCTAGAGAACCCAGCAATGGCGGTGGAGAAGCTTTTGGCCAAGCCCAGCCACCCGTTTCAGCTCAACGAGAAAGTGGAAATCAAGACCTTCCAGGCCGGATTCGAAGGCTCCTGGCAAATCGCCACCGTCGTCGTCCTCTCCGACGACGACCGGTGTTTGCACGTCAGGTACGACAATGCCCTCTCTCAAAACGACGAGCAGATCGTGGAGGTCGTCGCCTCCCCTTTCCCAGGCTCCATCTCCACCCGATTGAGGCCAATTCCGCCGCCGGCAAAATGCGGGGTGCTCGGCTTCACTTACGGCCTCTGCGTCGACGTGTGGAAGGACAGGGCGTGGTGGGAGGCGGTGGTCGCCGATCGGCTCGACGGGTCGGATCAAAGAATCGTCTTCTTGACCGATTCGTGTGCGGAAATTAGGACCGGGATCGAGAAATTGAGGGTTACTCAGGATTGGGATTCCGCCACCGGGGCTTGGAGGCGGCGGGGAACCTGGCCGCTCATTGAGTGGGTCGGGTTCGGGTTGGACGGCCCGAATCTGCTGCCCGATCAAGAATCCGAGCTCGGGATCGACAATGCAGTCGCGGATTCTCGTCCGACGGGCTGCCTGGTCGAAGAATCGGAGAACGCAGACGAGGAGATGGGGAAGACGACGACGCCGCTGCCGCCGCTGCTGCCGCCGCCTTCGAAGGGAAAGCAGAGTTGGCAGCCGGTGGGTTCGGACTTGTTATCGGGGCCCGAATTCTGCCCCCAATTCGTGACGGAGTACGCTTCTCTTGGCTCGAAACGGCCGCCGGAGTCTCTCGTGATCGGGATCCGGAAGCATCTGTTGGCATTGGGATGGAGCATTGAGTACCAGAGCAACGGGAATAGCTTCAGATTCCGATACATCTCTCCTGACCAAACCCTCAATTACCTTTCTCTCCGAGTTCTCTGTCAGGATTTGAGGCAGCCGGTGGTCGAAACTCCCAAGAAGAAACGCGAAACGCCGAGAACACCTGAGACCGTTTCGGTTTCTCAGAAACGGAATTTGCGGAGTCGGTGTCCTGAACTGGAAGTAATCGGAGTTTCATCGTCCTCCTCCGACGACGAATCGTGTGAAATGCGATGGGCTTCGTCTCCAGATACGGTCCTGAAGCCGTTCGAGACGAGCAAACGGAGGAAGATCGTAGCAGGAATTCCGGCTTCGACGAAATCGAAGGCGAAGAGGAAGCTGATTGTTGATAGTAGCTGTGAGGGTGAATCGCCGCCGCAGAAGAAACAGAGGAAGAAGAGTCCTCCACCGCCGCCAAAGAAACAGAGGATCAGGCTGGAAGCCGCGGACTGCTCCAAGAGGAAATCTCACTTCGTGCTTTCGACATTGATCGATGGCAATGCGGTGGATCTCGGCGCGGAAGTGAGCTGCAGGAACAACAAGAACGAAGTGAAGACAGGGATTGTAAAGCGGGAAGGTATATGTTGCCAATGCTGCAACAAGTCCTTCAGCCTGTCAGGTTTCGAGATTCACGCCGGCAGCAAGAGGCACAGGCCGGCGGCCAGCATTTTCCTGGAGAACGGCAAGTCATTGTCGGAATGTTGTGCCCAAATCATGAAGGACAAGAGGACGAGGCGGAGGAAGAAGGAAACGGCGGTGGTGAAGGAGGATGATGCCAACGACTTGATCTGCTCAGTCTGCCGCGAAGTCGGCGATTTGCTCTGCTGCGATCGCTGCCCATCGTCGTTCCACTACAGCTGCGTCGGTTTGGAGGAGCTGCCTGAGGGAGACTGGTACTGCCCGTTTTGCTGCTGCGACATCTGCGGCCGAATCGAAGACGATAAAGACGATGGTGAAACAGAAAGTACTGCCCCTCTCTTGAGCTGCCACCACTGCCAGCTCAAGTTCCATGATCCTTGCCTGAAAAAGAAACGGTCGGCGAAGTTCAGAAGCAAATCTGTTAAGGGGGAATGGTTTTGCAGTACTGAGTGTGGTACCGTGGTTTCCAAGCTACAACAGCTCGTAGGAAAACCTGTTCCTCTCGGAAAAGGAAGTGATCTCACCTGGACGCTACTGAGATGGACAGAAGACGACTCGGACAGTTCAGAAAAGCTGAACGCTGCCATAGACATTCTGCACGATTGCTTCGAACCGTTCAAGGACGATTTCTCCGGGACAGACATAGTTGAGGACCTGATTTACAGTAGAGGATCGGACCTCAGGAGGCTCAATTTCGTGGGATTCTACACGATTGTGCTGCAGAAGGGAGATGAAGTAGCGTGCGCAGGTAACGTCAGGATCCTGAGAGGGAAGATGGCCGAATTGCCACTCGTCGGTACCAGATCGCAGTACAGGGGCAAAGGGATGTGTCGATTGCTGATGAACGAGCTGGAGAAGCAGCTCAAGAGGTTTGGAGTGGAGAAGCTGGTGTTACCAGCGGCTCATAGTGTGCTCGACATGTGGAGGGATACTTTCGGGTTCTCAGAGCTTACCGCGGAAGATAGGAGGAAGATGGCTGGCTGTGGAGGTAGCGGCGGCTGCAGATTTCTTGAGTTTGAAGGTACTGTGACTTGCCAGAAGCTTCTTCAATAAGTAGCACCTTTGTGGGTAAAAATTTTATTAGACAGAACTCAGATGTGTAAGTTATCCCCTTCGTCTGTGTAAAGCAAGATCATGAGATTTTGATGTGTAAAGAGAGAGGTCTTCTCGAATTGAGTAGACAACTAGTTTTTTATTCCGAATAAAAACGAGATTGCATTTGTTCTTCCACCTATTTATAACTCACAAGGCAAACACAGCGGGGAAATTTGCATCCCTATTTTACAACACAACTGAGACTGATGGAGCAAGTTTCAGTCAGTCACTCCAGTTATCTCCATCTTCAGCCACCGAAACATCCTGCATTCCGGTTCATATAATAAACGTGATTAGCAGCGTATAAGCTGACGTCAAATGGCTTAAGTAGGGATTGACATATACAGCTCACCTCATGAGGTTTGGAAGAAGACCAGACCAGAATTTGTCTATCATTGCCACCTGTGTACAGCTCCTGTAAGAATACAAAACAAGTCAGCGACGTGTTTAACTTACAGTGACTCAGTCAATATTAAACTGTGGGTTAATTGGAAATCGGCTCACCTGATCCTGGGAACTAAACCAACAGCAGTTAACATTCTCATAATGGCCACGAAGAACCATAGATGTCTCGCCGGACCAAAGATCAAACGCCTGAGAATCCAAAACGAGGTTCCACAGTTAGAATGGTGTTCATATCCCGTAGTAGCACTTTCATGGGCAAGAGGAAAATCAGTGAATAAGGCAATGGGGTTACCTTCACAGCTGTCATGCAGGGTACAAAGGCCAGTCTTGAATCTCCAGAAGTCGCCATCTGGATGGGCTTGCTGGTCTGTAATCGTGCAGTTTCAAAGTTCACGAGAGTGTTACATCCGGACTCAATGTCCCATAACCTTAACCTTGAATCAGATCCTGAATTATGCATAATCAATGTAAGATCATTTGACCACACCACTGAGTTATTCCTTTGTTAAACAAATATACAATACAGAGAGGCAGCTAGAACCTGCACTTAGAAGATACATGCCATCTTCAGTTACTCTGGAACCTGTGACAGCACCATAGTGAGCAGTAGCACGGTCTTGTGTGGACAACAACCCTGGATGCATTCTGAGTTTAACAGATCCCTTTCCTGGTGTTCGACCAAGAGCTAACTGCTGTTTTGCTCCATTCCCAGTCACAGTTTTTTTCTGCAATAACCATTAGAAACAGAAACATATTATAAACAAACTATTGATTCAAACTTTTAGGCCATATTCAAGGACGTGGTATCTATTGAAGGACGTGGTAACCATTACAAACAGAAAACATATTATAAACAAACTATTGATTCCTAAGACAGACTTAGTTAGAATTTGGCCATATTGAAGGACGTGGTATCTATTCATTCAAACTTTTTGGCCCGAACATAAAGTACCTTATTGGTCATGGAGCGGCGAAGGACAGGTAGGCGTCTGCCTAACTGAGTTCGAGATTGATCTAAAACACGGAAACATCCAGCTCTTCTAATGTCCCAAAACCGAATAGCACCATCACAACCCCCTGTAACCAGCACCCATTCACTTGAAGTAGACCATTCTACTGTCATAACACCATCTGCCCATCATGAGAAAATGTCATTTCCTTTATCAGTCTCTTTAGTCACGCATCTTAATACATTAAGATTAAGACACCAGATTACAGCTGGAGTTTTGAATGTTTAGTGGTGCACTTAGCAATGCAAGCAACTAAACCTCTCGAAAGGATAAAACTTCCCATGAATAGAAGATTTCTACGGAACAGGCTAGCAAGTAAGAGTTCATTCATTATGAACAACATTAAAGCATTCAGCATTACCGCGATGACCAGAAAGTGTATGTGAAAATGCCCCTGAGGCAATATCGCATAGTCGAACTTGAACATCTTCAGTCCCAGCTGCTATCAGCATGTGAGAGGTGGCCAAGGGAGACATAGCAGCTCGATAAACCTTCCCAGGCATTTTGAAATTCATCACAACCTACCCAAACAAAAAAAAAAAAAAAAAAAACAAACAAACAAACAACCAAATCCATGAATCAGAATGAATTTTACAACTGCAACCACTTGAAAAAAAAATCAATCCATAGGTTACCTGGGTGCTGTTGGTATCCCAGACTTTGATATAATGATCATAAGAACCAGTGATGAACAGCCCAGTATCGATCGGATACCATATCGCCGTTGATACGGCGAATTTATGCGCAGCCCTGTGCTGCTTGTCGATAGCGAATACATGCCGGTGCTTAGCGATGGCTCCGCCGCCTTCATATTCTGTCGCCCGTTGGACATCGAAAACGGCGGTGGACGCATCCGCCGCACCGGACAACAAGTATCTCCCCTCTGTCAAATCAACCTGATTTCACCATTAAGAAACAGTAGAACGAAAAAGAAAGTGGCGCTTTCGAATGTAATTTCGACAAGCCATAGGCGAATTCCAGAGAATACGAATCAAATTTTCACCTGGAGAGAATTGACGGAACCTCTGTGAGGGGAAACGATATCTTTGTGATTGGAGAGCTGTAGATCGGAACTCAAGCCGGATGTGACGCGGCTTTTGAAGGAATTTGGTCGGGTTTTTCCCGCTTCTCTGTTTGCAATTTCTCTCCACATCTCTTAGGCATCTTCGGCCACGAGAGCACGCGCCTCTGTTTGTTTCGCCGGACGCCGGGCGAAACTGAAGCAAGCTACTTTTGATTCTTTGGCGGCTACAATTAGGAGAAGATGGCGGCGGCGGCTGACATCGGAGAAGAGGAACTTGTTTCTGCTCACGGATTTACCTGTATTCAGTTAATTCGTTTCTCGTCGTTCGGTGGTCTTACAGCTCTTCCGCGCCGCTCGTTGTATTCACTCTTCAGCTCCGCCACTAAAAAAGTCGCCGGCTGAGCAAGCTATTCTAACGGGCTCGGCGACAGCAATGTTAGTTGAGAAAACAAGACGGTGAATGGTAATAAGTTGGGCCCAATAAGCCTCTGGGCTGCACTCGATCTCCTCCGGGATCCACGAAACGGCGACCTGATCAGCCCTCGGCCGGCCCGGTACCCCCTGTAGTATCTTCAACTTCAACCGGTATAAAACCAGCAATTACAAAACACAAGATTTATTTGGTTGTGTTTGCATGTCTATGTTGATGGGGGAGGTCTACTAATAACTTATTTTTATGATCAAATACATTATAAATCTTAGTGTTTTATAGCATCACATCTAATGGATTAGGAATACAAAAAACGACATGCAAAAGTATTTATATTATTGCTAAAATTCCTTGTATAGAACCTATTAGAAAAACTATTTAATTTCCATCATGTAACACTAATGTGTACTCTAATTATGATCAGGGCTGAAGAAGTTGTTAATCCATGTACATCTAGTCGCATCTAGGCGGTAGGTAACACCAAAATGCCTTACTTAGGAAAGTGTTAGCATGGTTACTTTTTTTTAGTAGTCAAGGAGGGTACCAAACTCTAAACCGTCTATTTCTTCTCTTACCAATTTTTAAATCAACGATTAAGGTTATCCTATGATAGTATTGAAAATGTAAAAGATACCCATATGTGATTATTACTCTATAAAATAGTATTTTTCATAAATATCACTCTCCCCAAACCCTAACAAGTCATCTCTCCCCCCTCTCTCTCCTCAACTATTCATCCATCGTCGCTCTTCATCCCTCTCTTCCTCTCGTCCATCAGTCGCCGCTCCCAAATCTGCCACCGAGGAGAGGATCTATTTGTCGGCCAATCTTCCTCTCTTCCTCTCGTCCATCGTGGCGCCACAAACTATATGTAGTTTATCATATAAACACTTAAACCCAACTGGACCAATTCCTCACCAGAAGTTGGTTTCGCTCCTTTGAAAACTATAGTTTCTTCATAGCACTGTGCTTTCTCATCGTTTCCCTCTGCTAGAATCGCTATGGATGCTCCCGGGGGACATCCGAAGAGCATCCGGCTCTTCTAGGTGATACAGTTGCAGTAGAAGTTCATATTCTTCACCGGGATTGCAAAGGATGGAAGTGCGACATCCGTCATTGCTATAATGGTAGATTGTTGAGAAATGGCATTGATTTCCCTCATCAATGGTATTGATTTCTTCTGAAATGGTGTTGTTTGTTTTCACATAGTAATTGTGGTATTGGTTCACGTTGGAATGGTATTGATTTGGTTCTAAAATAGTATTGTTTAGTTTTCATAGTAGTACGACTATTGTTTCATGTTTGATTGATATTAATTTTTATTCTGGTATTGATTTTATCATATTGGTATTGAACATCATGTATTGATATTGGTTAAATCTGCAATAGTATTAGTTAATATGTACTGGTATTGATTAATATTGTGATTGTATTGTTGTTTATGTTAGTATTTTTATGATTTGATATTAATTACTTGTTTTATTTTTGTAGTGGTATTTGTTCGTCTAAATAGAGACAAAGAAGAATTCAGAAGTTGGCAAAGAGGTGGCCGAAGAAGAAAAAAATGGCCTTAGAACTAATGAATTGAGAGAAAGGGAGAGAGAGAGTTACTTTGGAGAGAGAAATCTGTAAAGTAATGTGTATTTGTAACTTTCCATTTTAAATTTAACAAAAATATAATTAATAAATACTATTTTTTCATTCTCATTTTCCCTTAAGTTCCTGAACAGGTTCCGTCCAAAGCCAAGCACATCTATAGAGAAGGAAATGGCCTGGCGGATTCTTTGTCAAACTTAGTTTAGCAAAAGCAATAGTCAAGAGGGCTACTAGGAGTGAGTAATCACCATTAGGGCTGAGAACCGGTGCGGTTTGGTCCAGACCAGACCATATATACAGTCTATAGTCCAGATCGAGAGGCTAAAGTATAGACCACAGACTATACGGTCCGGTCCAGATCACGCCTGTGCGGTCTGGTTTGGTCTGGTCCAGATAGACTACACTCAACGAAAAATGAATAATTTGTTTAGTCAACCACACAAAAAATTGAACCAATAACCAAGAAAAATCATTGTTATTTGCCTTAAAACATTAATCCTAACATGCATGAATAATTTTGATACTCTAAATCTTAGTACATAACAAAAAATACAAAGTAAAAGCATCCCAGCTTGCACCATAACGTCATAAACATTAACATAATGTCATATGGAGACACGATTATCTCTACTCTCTGGTTAAATGTGGTTGTGAATGAAGGAGAGACGAGATTCACAAAACTAAGGTTGAGACTTGGTGTCGTTGTGGGAGTTGGGAGAGTGGTCGAATGAGCTGTTAACACGTATTAACAAGTCAGTTGGGTCCACGGATTGGTCTAGTAAACCACGGTCTAGATCAGACCAGACCAAGCGATCAAATCATAAAATAATACAGACTATGGACCAGACTAGACCATACTTAAAGGTCTACGGTCCGGACCAAACTGTGCAATACGGTTTGGACCACGGTTTTTCTAACGGTCTGGGCTATTTTCCCAGCCCTAATCACCATAACTAACCCCTTCTCGCCTTACTTAAGCACTCCAAAATGAGTTAGGTGTCCAGAACGTGGTGGAGTAAGACGTCTCTAGAGAGGTGGGTTCTTGTCGATTTTCTCATATCAGTGGAGGTTCAGGCGACACTTTTTCCATGTTTTGGGGTTGCTCCTCTGATTTCGTGGTTGTAGGCAGATCTTGGAGCAATTCTGGGTTTGGTTCTCCCCAACCTTTCTTGAGGTCATTATCCTCTTGTCTGTGCAGCTCGATCCTTTCGACTGCTTCTTTCTCCGGTGTAGAACATATATGTTGACTAGAGGTTGTTAATCATAATGAAAATATAAAAACAGAAATCAACACATAGAGTTACGTGGTTTTCTTATCCTCTATGAACAAGACTAGTCCACGGCCGAAGTTATTGTATCTTTTATTCAGTGTAGCTTCAATAGGTTCGGTTACATACACATATATATACAAACTAGGGTATCTAACCCTAGACTCCAATACTCGACAAGCCCTAACCTCCTACACCCACAGACCCGACGTTTGGGGAATGGGCAGAAGCCTAACATGAATATATATGACTCAACAACTTCCCCCAAATTGATGAGGATCTCACATCATCAATTTGCAAGAAAGATAGAAATTATGACTAGCCGAGAAAGACCTGGTTAATGGATTTGAAATCTAGTCCTCCGAGGTGATGTAGAATAGGCAAAGAATACCATCACGAACCAAGTCTCGTATGTAGTGAAGATGAACCTTGATGTGCTTCGTGCGGTCATGATGCACTAGATTAGTGGAAATCTGAATAGCGCTCGTATTATCAACTTGGAGCTGAAGAGGAATACTATTTTTGGTTTGCATTGATGGATTTTTATGATTTGAGACATCTTGTTATTTCGGTTTAGTTGGGTACTTTTTGGGATATTCGGTTGATGACTCGGTATTTGCACATGTTTTCCCCTTTGTTTCTTGATTGTTTGAGCTTGAATTATTGCGTCTTTGTCCTATTTTATGCTAGGTTGTGTTCCTTTGTCACATTTCAGGTCCTAGCACATAAAGTGAAGCATAGGCGCAAGTTTCAAATCAATCAGAGATCAATTGACGATTCGGGAGAAGAAACTCAGGCATGACCTGAAGAAGAATGGATTTCTACCTCACTTTATGGACAAAGAATGATGCAAGCTTGTCATGGAAAGAAAGAGGACAAGACTACGAGCGTCTGGGATCAAACGGGGACTGATGCGGAGTCCGGACGAGGGAGAAACGAAGCATTAAACAGAGGCTGAGCAAGCCACACGGGCATCCTGGAATTCCACACGGCCGTGTGGGTCGTGGCCTTGTGGAAATCACCGAGCCTTCACACGGGCAGCTGGGAAAGCCACACGGCCGTGGGGCCTGGCCGCCTGATCGGGAATTTCTGTTTAAAACTCGATTTTCAGCCAAAGGAAAGGGGGGAGCTGGGTTTTTGGTTCCCAAACACCCAAGGGACGAACCCTAGAGAGAGAGCGACTTGGGAACATTCTTCGAGCTATTTTGGAGGATTTCTTCGCCATTGGAGCTCGGGAATCAAGCTTGGAGATGGAGATTGAAGATCTAGATCAGATTTCTACATTCTCTCTCTTCTCTATGGAGTAACTTCCCTTCACTTAGGTTTTGAGGAACCCTAGTTCCATGTGTTAGGATCTTTCTTGTATGAAGTTTTGGATGCTATATTGTTTGATTATAATCGATTGAGGCATGATTTATTGAGTCAATTGAAGCTTGATCAAATTCTCTTGATTTTTGCTTTAACCTATTATAGATAGAATCTGATTAGGTTAAGAGAGCTTCCTTGATTGATGGTGGTGAATTGGTTATACGAGAGTTAGTCAATCTACTGCTTTGTACTGGAATCCAATTCTGGTAGTGGAGTTCTGTGTTCATAGTCTCAGCTTTCTATCCCGGTGAAGGTTAGTCGCCTGCCGGGTAGTTGGACTGAGAGGGCTTGGTCAGCTTAAGAGATTCCAAGCTACTGTCGATCAACAGTAGATCAACCAAAGGTAATTGCAACTTGGACCTAATTGAGGAGCTAGGGGGAATCATACCTAAGTGAGTTCACAACTTGTAATTAGTAGAGTAGTCAGTAGAGTAGTTTATAAATCAATCTTTAATCTAGTTTGCTAGATAATGAACTGAAGCTGAGTAATAGTAACTCTAGAGACCCGTGGATTCGATATTTATTACTTGTGCCACTATACTGCAGTCCCTTTCATTGGTTACACTTGGCCATTGTTAGGTGTTGTGTTTTAGCGTGTCAAGTTTTTGGCGCCGTTGCCGGGGACTTTCTAGATTATTAGGAAAGGCAGAAGTTTGTTACTTTAGCGTTTTTCTTTTGTTTTCCGCCCTTGCTTTTCACTTGGGTGTTTTTTTTGCTTTTGTTGGTGCAGATATGAATCATGGACCCTCATGGCTTCTCCAATCATTGGGGGTATCCACCACCATCCGAGTGGTATTACCCCGAGAATCCCTGGAGTAACCAAGGAGGAGAAGACTATGGAGTCGGGTTTCAGTACCAACCCCCTACTACGAAGAACAATCAGACCCCTGGGTATTTCAAGAACAATCTCCTTATCAAGAAGAATTCCACCCACAATAAGAAGGGCCATCAGATCTTGAGTTCGCCACAGCCTTCACGGGCGATCCGGCAGAGCCATGCTATACTCCACAGCCAGATCCAAACTATCACTTGAGGCTTCTTGTGGAGCAGATTGCTCGAGTACCTGAGAGATCCTTTCCCGAGATGGATCCTCATATCCAGGCCATTGCCCAAACTGACTTCTCCTTTCCCCGTGAAATAGAGGATACCCTTCGGAGCATAAAGAAGCACATAGAGGTCATTGAGAAAGCCTGTTCACAGTTTTCTCAAGACAACCTTTATGCTGCCATACAAGTAGAGGTGGAGGAAGAAGAAGGCAATCGTGAGGATGTTGAGGAGCATACAGAAGTTGTCAAGGAAAACTCCCATGATAATCATGATCAAGTTTATCCTCTAGTGGTAGATCACAACTTTCCCCATTTCTGCTCTGACATGCCGGGCCCGAGCGAGGAGATTCAAGCTGAACTTATTGAGAACCTTGCATGGCGACTTGCTCTCCAATCAGTTATGGAAGAAGAAGAGAGAGAAAGGGTGAGGAAAGAAGTTGTGGAGGATGAGGAAGAAAGAAAAGAAGAGGTAGTTCTTAATCTTTTCCGAGGAGAGAGACCACATTTTGAAGAAGGAAGGGGGGTTGAAGAAGCGAGTGGTGTCCAGGCTGAGGATGAAGTTGAGGTGGAAGAGGCTTGCACCGGCCCTATAATACAAGTAATATACCCACCAAACTTCGAGAAACTATTTAGCAAGGACCCATTTGCAGTGTCTCTTTGCCAGACCAAGGCCACATCGACATCGGTCCCTCTGGGTGGACGCGATGGTGGTCAATCGATGTTGTCATATATGGTTTGGGGCAATGAGACGAGAGAAGAGAAGAAGAGGTCTCGAGGATGGAGACTTCATCTGCATCAAGTGCACGAGCTTCCATCACCAGTCATACCACATGCTCGTGACTTGCGACTCCACCTCATTGATGAGAACCTCAACTTCAAGGAGGTTCTAGCATGGACCGAAACTTAGGAGTCATCGTCTGGCTCACGATGTGAAAGAAGCGCTTGTTGGGAGGCAACCCAACCAGTCGGTTTGCATTTCTTTCTCTATTTCTCCTTGGTTGAGTCAGTTTTGTTATTTGATTTTAGAGTCAATAACTCAACCTTTGTGAGATTTTGTGTGGTGTTTGCGTTCTGATTACTCTCTCTTCCTGGAATGCACCGCCTGACCCGTCCATCATCATTCACCCTTGATCTGGTAACTTCATTCTACCCTCCTTATCTTTCCTCCATTGAGGACAATGTCGTGCTTAAGTGTGGGGGTGTTCGATTATGTATGCGGGTGAATGTTGGGCTGTTTGTGTGCTTGGAGCCTAGTCCACTATCCAAATTTTTAGATTTGAGGGCTCCAAGTACGTGTTTCCTTGCAAATTGCCTGCTCAGTATGCTTTGAATCGACTTCTCTATAGTAATGTGCAACCTAGGGAGGTAGTGTAGCACTATGGAGGATGTTTAAGTATAAGATTTTTCCTATCTAGCTCTCTGTTGTGCCAGTTGATTTTGTGAATTAGTGGAGCTAAGACCGTTGAATTCATGTGGTAATGGTGACTCTGTTTGGATTGTGTTATGCACTCGTGTATCGAACAGGGTGCTCTTATGGAAAATGGGAAGCAGTTGGTCCTCCATGTCGAAATCATTGAAATCTTAAACATGGGGTAAGCCCAACGTGTGTGGCACCGTTCATTGCACAAAATCGGGTTTTGGAAGAGATTTTAGTGAACCTTAGTGGGGTACTCCTACAAGGTGAAGCTAAGCTGTCTCTAGTACAAGTAAAATTTTCACCCGTTGAACGGTTTGCCTACTTGAGGATGTGTTTTTAAGGGCACGGATAGAGCTTCCGACCCCCCTTGATTTCATTGACCCTCCACACGAGTTGAGGAAAAGGAGTTAAAAGAAGTACTCTGGCAAGCGCTAGATGTACAAAAATTGCTCTTGCTCGATAATAAGGGTCGACCGTGCAAAAGACTGCAGTTGGAACCCCCGCCAAGTGAATGAAGAAAAAAAGAGAAAAATAAATGTAAATGAAAGTGCAAAAAGGGGTTCCAAAGGTGAAATGAAGTGAAAGAGCACCCCGGTACAACGAGTCCTTGGTTGTGAATGGCGTGAGTCCCTTTGTCCAAAGTTGACCTCGTAAGCTGCTATATGATCTAGGAAATCCTCTACCGACGATCGGGGTTGTTTGTTGCTATAGAGGTCTGGAGAGCTGCATTGGTTTGAGTTAGGTTTTCTTGGGGACAAGCAAACAGTTAAGTGTGGGGGGATTTGATGACTCGGTATTTGCACATGTTTTCCCCTTTGTTTCTTGATTGTTTGAGCTTGAATTATTGCGTCTTTGTCCTATTTTATGCTAGGTTGTGTTCCTTTGTCACATTTCATGTCCTAGCACATAAAGTGAAGCATAGGGGCAAGTTTCAAATCAATCAGAGATCAATTGACGATTCGGGAGAAGAAACTCGGGCATGACCTGAAGAAGAATGGATTTCTACCTCACTTTATGGACAAAGAATCATGCAATCTTGTCAGGTAAAGAAAGAGGACGAGACTACAAGCGTCTGGGATCAAACGGGGACTGATTCGGAGTCCGGACGAGGGAGAAACGAAGCATCAAACAGAGGCTGAGCAAGCCACACGGGCATCCTGGAATTTCACACGACCGTGTGGCCTGGCCGCGTGATCGGGAATTTCTGTTTAAAACTCTATTTTCAGCCAAAGGAAAGGGGGGAGCTGGGTTTTTGGTTCCCAAACACCCAAGGGACGAACCCTAGAGAGAGAGAGAGCCACTTGGGAACATTCTTGGAGCTATTTTGGAGGATTTCTTTGCCATTGGAGCTCGGGAATCAAGCTTGGAGATGGATATTGAAGATCTAGATCAGATTTCTAGAGTCTCTCTCTTCTCTATGGAGTAACTTCCCTTCACTTAGGTTTTGAGGAACCCTAGTTCCATGTGTTAGGATCTTTCTTGTATGAAGTTTTGGATGCTATATTGTTTGATTATAATCGATTGAGGCATGATTTATTGAGTCAATTGAAGCTTGATCAAATTCTCTTGATTTTTGCTTTAACCTATTATAGATAGAATCTGATTAGGTTAAGAGAGCTTCCTTGATTGATGGTGGTGAATTGGTATACGAAAGTTAGTCAATCTACTGCTTTGTACTGGAATCCAATTCCGGTAGTGGAGTTCTGTGTTCATAGCCTCAACTTTCTATCCCGGTGAAGGTTAGTCGCCTGTCGGGCAGTTGGACTGAGAGGGCTTGGTCAGCTTAAGAGATTCCAAGCTACTGTCGGATCTTCCGCAGTTTAATCAACAGTAGATCAACCAAAGGTAATTGCAACTTGGACCTAATTGAGGAGCTAGGGGGAATCATACCTAAGTGAGTTCACAACTTGTTATTAGTAGAGTAGTTTATAAATCAATCCTTAATCTAGTTTGCTAGATAATGAACTGAAGCTGAGTAATAGTAACTCTAGAGACCCGTGGATTCGATATTTATTACTTGTGCCACTATACTGTAGTCCCTTTCATTGGTTACACTTGGCCATTGTTAGGTGTTGTGTTTTAGCGTGCCATCGGTATTTTTGTCATTGGGCTAATTATGGGTAGTATAAGGAAATTTGTCGGGTCTATATATTATATTATTGTGGAGTGATCTCATTAAGCATAATAATAGAAGAATTATCCCTAAAACCTATCTCTCTCTTCTCCCTCTCCTTGGCCAACTCCTCCCTTCCTTTCCTCTCTCTCTCTCTCTCCCTCTCTCTCACGGTTGCAAACAAGTCGCCAACTCCCCCAACCTCAACCTTCTGTCTCTCTCTTCTTTTCCCACTCCCTAGACCGATTCCCAATTATCCATTTCAATCCCTAATCCCTCTCTTTTCCCTAAATCATCTCAACTATTCAATCACAACGCTCGAGATCTAGGTTCTATCAGTGGTATCAAAGCCCGGTTGAGGGTCAAATCTAAGCCGGGAAATATGCATAATCAAGATCAGGAATCACAGTTGAATAATGTTCAAGAAAAGATGGTCGGGGAGGACATCGCGATGAAAGAGTGCTTCCGTGAGATCATGCCAATGGTGGTGGATAATCATGTTAAGCTTGATTCCGGGATCAACCCCGTACTGCAGGCCGTACAAAAATCATCGTGGAGAGCAAGTGAGGACATGAAGGAACTGCACAAGACGATGATTGAGATGCCTTCCATGTTGGTGGGATCCGAGGTGGCCAGGAGGCAACGAGTGGTCGCAAAAGAAACATAGAGGTGTTGGCCACCCCTATTGATATGATCCTATTTAGCCTCTTGTTGATGCACGAATTGAATTCCAAAGGATCCCTCAACGTTAGAAGGAAGAAAGGTCTAATTTGGCTAAATGTTCGAACCATTTCATGGTGCCTGCTTTGTAGGTTTGTATCTTACGTTCTGGACAATGGAAATGCACAAGGAAGGTGGGAAAATAGAGGGGAAGTGTTTATCTTCAACATCAAGAGGTTGTGTGCACGAATTAAGGTCCCTAGGTGCTCGATCAAGAAGCCTCTAGTTACTATGAAAAACTGGAAACTGGGAGTTGGAACTTGAACTACGAGGTCAAGGGAATAAACGTCTGAAGCCAGTTTGGGTCGTCGATCCTTGGAATGCCATGAAAGAGGGCTCCAAAGTAGCTATTGAGCTTGATTTGGTTACTTGCGCAGGAAGGCAGCATCTTGGGGATGAAGTAATTGGAGTTTGTTTCCTTTAAGAGTTGGGATTCTGTTTTCTTGTTAAGTTAGAGTTAGAGTACGATTTCCTTGTTTGTTTAGAGTTAGAATTAGGTTTTTTCGTGTTTACTTAAGGGTTTGAAAGCCTCGTGTACAAGTAGAGAAGATTGAATGAGAAATCGTGAGTTTGTCACCAAATTCTTGTGTGTTGGTCAAGTTCCACCAACAAGCTTGCTTCGTATTGATTGAAACCGCATCAATCCTGGCCGAGCTTCACCTCAAACCAATCGAGCCTTCTTCCACGTGAAATATTGCACCTTGATCCGTTTTTCGTTTTAAGTTTGTTTAATTTCAATATCTTCTTCGAGTAGATTGTGGGTTGCGTACTTTGATCTCCAACAAGCACAACCGTGCTCATATTAAGTGGCATCAGAGCCAGTGTTCAAACACAGTGGACACAGTGTGTTGGACGAGGTCTAAAGGACCTGTGTCTCAAGATCCTGGAGTTCGGCGGAAACCAGAGGAGGAAATTGATTCCGACGAGGCGAATCAAGAGAGCGAAACGGCGATGGCAGGCCAACTTAACACTACTGAGTTTTTGCAGACAATTACGGCGCAAATTGGAACTCTTTTTCACGCTCAATTCGACAAGATCAAGTGCTAGCTGGAACAGCAGGGACAACAACTTGATGCTCTGTCTCTAGCTGGAACACAGGGGCCTCCTCGACCTCGGGCAGGGGAGTTCAATGACGGCAACGGCGAAAATACCAATCGCGAGTTGATAGCGCGGATTGAGGACCTGGAGCAACAGCTAGTAGGACCTGAGCATGAGCAGGGAAGGCATCGACGAGGGAGGCCGCCTAAAACAAAATCAACAATACCACCAGGTATTAAGTTGGTTGTTCCTCAATTTTAGGGGACTTAAGTTGGTTGTTCCTCAATTTTAGGGGACTCGGAACCCAACAGCGTACTTGGATTGGGAGAGGAAAATAATCCTCTTCTTCCAATGTGGGCAGTTCACAGAGCAACAAAAGGTTGCAATGGCGACCTACAAGTTCTCGGATTATGAGGTGCAATGGTGGGAGCTGCTTCAACTTCGTCGCCGACGAAAATTACAAGCTCCAGTGGAGACTTGGACTGAGCTACGCGGACTGCTCAGGGAGCGGTTAGTACCAAGCTATTACCAGCGAGAGCTACACGAGTCCTTGCAGGGATTCGACAGGGATTGCGTGCGGTGGAGGAATATTTTCATGAATTGGAGCTATTGATGCATGAATTGAATTCCAAAGGATACCTCAACGTTGGAAGGAAGAAAGGTCAAATTTGGCTAAGTGTTTGAACCATTTCATGGTGCCTGCTTTGCAGGCTTGTATCTTACGTTCTGGACAATGGAAATGCACAAGGAAGGTGGGAAAGTAAAGGGGAAGTGTTTATCTTCAATATTAAGAGGTTCGGTGCACGAATAAAGGTCCCTAGGTGCTCGATCAAGAAGCCTCAAGTTGCTATGAAAAACAGGAAAACTGTCTGTTTTGTGGCCAAGTCTGGAACCCGCTTGAGCTATCATCTTTGGAGACTTAATCCATGCAGCTGGAGAATTGTCGAGATGGAAACTGGGAGTTGGAACTTGAACTACGCGGTCAAGGGAATAAACGACTAAAGCCAGTTTGGGTCGTTGATCCTTGGAAGGCCATGAACAAGGGCTTCAAAGTAGCTATGGAGCTTGATTTGGTTACTTGCGCAGGAAGGCAGCAGCTTGGGGATGAAGTAATTGGAGTTTGTTTCCTTTTAGAGTTGATTAAATTGAACTAAAAATCGAGTGTTTGAGTTCTTGAGTTGTGTCTCGAGAGTTTACCCATTGTCATTAGCTATGAGTGGATTCCTTATCTAATTACAAGACCCTTGTGAAGCTATTCTGAGTGGATTCCAGAATCGTTTAGCAAGTTCTCTTATCAGTCAATTAATCACATCGATTGTGGCGAGAATTCTACCATCCATTTTTATCTTTCGTTGAAGATTTTGAGCTGCGTATTCTGATCAAACAAAGCACCCCCTTGGTGCTTTATCACCTATACCGGGCGATAAAGGAGGGGCGGCGAAGGAGTTAGCCGCCGGGTTGCCCTGGTCTGCATAATCGACCGCGGTGGTGGCTCAGGTGGCGCCGGTGAATCCCGTGCAAGAGGGCTCGAAAGGCTCGAGTAGCCCAAGTGGCGCAGGCGGACCAACGAGAGCTCCGAGACTCATGGGCTTGGAGCCTGGGATCACTGCCAAAGGGGCGACCTGGCCAAATCCGTCTGCTGGGCTTTTACCTAAGCCCACGGATCAAGGAGATCATGACACTTCGTGGCAAAGAAAAGATGGTGGGCTATGGGCCGAATGGCGGTCTTGGGTGGTTGACTTAGGACGAGGACGAGCGGGCTTGGTCTGGGTCGAACTCGAGGGTGTGGGCTGAGCAGGGTCGACTAGACCAAGGAGGATGAGCTGGACCAAAGCCTTTCGATATGATCATGAATAATGTCAAAGGGAAGCTTGGCCAAGACAAAGAAGCCTTCAAGATAAGTCCGAGGGAATAAATTCCAAAATTGGTCAAGTTCGGAACTAAGTTCGAGCACCTTACTTTGAGGCCTCGTAGCTCACAGTTGGAAGAGATTCGAAGGAAGAGAAGGGTATGTCGTTAAACTAGAGGTAGGAACAACTGGGTGGTCTTGGTTTAGTTTGAATCTCTCTAGAAGGTCTTGAACGAGAAGCTCCAAGTTGGTATGACAACACAGTGGAAACTGCCGGTGTTCAGAATCTGACTAAGTCTGCAAAACAGCTTGGGATAGGAACTTTGAAGGCTTACTCGTGGCCAGGAAAGGACTGTCAAGGGCTAATGAAGCTTGGAAATGGAAGAATGAGTTTAGTACTACAACGTAAAGGCATTGGATGACTGATACGAAGCATAGATGTCTTCAAGCTGGACGTCCAAATGAGCTATGGAGTCTGGTTGGAGCGCTTGCAGGCAGACAACTTGCAACTTTCGTTTCTTTGTGCTTTTAGGATTTAAGTCTACCTGTTAGGGAAGTCGAATTGTGTTTAAGTTATTTCCCTGTTTGAGTTTGTTTCCTTGTTAGAATAGATTTAGGAGAGTAAGTTTTCATCTATTTAAGGGCTTGCAAAGCCTCGTGTAAGGACAGTTTTTTATTAATAACAAGTTTAGTTCATTGAGTTTGCTCAACGAAGAATTGTCCTTGATTGTTGGCCAATTCCAACGATTCAAGCGAGCTCCGTAACGATTGAGTACTCACCCTCAATCGTGGCCGAGTTGCTACCTACAGTTAATTGAGCCTCTTCCCCAACTTGAGTGTTGAAGTTGCACGATTGAATCTTCCATCGAAGAACTCTGTTTTAGCTTATGCAATTCCATTATTTTGGGATTGGATTGAGCTGCTCGACTCTGAGATATACAGCCTGCGAGTTGGGTTGTATTAAGTGGCATCATCGCCTGGTTCCACATAGTGGACACGACGCGTTGGACAAGGTCGAAAGGACCTGTGTCCAGTGACCCTGCTACTGTTCGACTAATAGAACAGAGGAAGAAGACCAAGCACGTCGAAGCCGCAATTGACGACGAAACAGTTATGGCAGGGCAGGAAAACACCGTATAGCTTCGGCAAGCAATCACGGCACAGCAGAGTGCCGCGTTCCAAACTCAGTTTGAGCATATAAATCGACAATTGGCTGATTTAAGGGATACGATGAACGCCCCTGTCCCGCAGAGGAACGCTATAGGGGAGGTTCTTGTTCCCGAACAAAACCAAGTGCAGGGCCACGACAAATTTCGGCCACCCGAGGCAGGACAAGGGAACCAAGTCACCAAATTGAGGGGATTTAAATTGCAAGTTCCATCTTTCTCAGGAATCATTAACGCCTCAGCATATTTGGATTGGGTGAGGAAGATAATTCTGTTCTTTCAATGTGGCAACTATAGCGAAACCTAGAAAGTTCTCCTCGCGACATACGAATTCACCGATTACACCGCACAATGGTGGGAGAAGACCCAACTCCGTCGAGGAAGGAGCTTGCAGCCGGAAATCACCACTTGGATGGAGCTGAGGGGTCTGCTGCGAGAATGTTCGTGCCGGATTACTACCAGCGCGATCTGTATGAGGCTCTGCAATAGTTGCAACAAGGCTCGAAGTCGATTGACGAGTATTTTCGAGAACTGGAACTTCTTATGATGCGTGCTGGCAACAAGGAGGATAAGGAGGCCACTATTGCCAGGTTTCTCCATGGAATGAATCGGGAGATTCAACATGAAGTACAGTTGCGACCCTTTGTCGACCTGGAAGAAGTTGTCCATCTAGCAGTTAAGGTCGAGAGGCAGCAAAAGTTGTCAACAGGGAAGCGTTTGGCGCCTCCGGTTAAGTCTGCTGCTGAACCAATTATGGACACCAAGATTCGCCAAACCAATCTTGAACTTTCTAAATCAGCAAATCGAAGCATTGCACCCGCCAATCAGGAGCAAACAGGAAGCATTCAATGCTTTAAGTGTCACGGCAGAGGACACAAGGGGAATCTGTGTCCT